GTAAATATAAACTGAGAAATACCTTTTCTCATCAGCAGCTAGAGCAGTCTTGTGACTTCTATCAGTGTCCCGCAGAACACTGGTTAAAGCTTGTAGGAGGAGTTTGCATTCTGCTCTAGGAAGATGCAGGACTGCTGACTTTTGTCTGGACAGTGCTGATTGGCCCTGTGCTGATCACATGCACTGTCCCAAGAAAAAAAAGCTCTCTAGCAATACACACCAAACTGAGCATATGCAGAGGACTCCACAAGATATTTCTAAGATAAGCAGGAGGCACTGGAAGAAGGTGAGGATCAGAGAAGTCAGGTCAAAACAGCCTTTTTACACAATGCAGAGGATTGACCACTTAGGTTCTACAGTGAGTATAACAAGCATGCTTTACTACATATACAGACTGATTTTACTGTTGTGGGTTTAGTAACACTTTAAGCTTTGAATAGGAAAGATAGAAGCTGACTAGTCACCAAACACAGCTGCTGCAGATTATGGCTGCTCCAGTTTTTAAAAATTCCCCTCGGAGATTCTAGCTGAGAATCATTACTTCAGCACTACAGTTCAGAACACAAAGACTTGTAATTATACTCATAAAATAGAACTTCTCTCAGTGAAGTGCAGGGTAGCTTTGGTAACACAAACTGCTGGAGAGATCTCATGCACAAGGGCATAGTGCCACCCCACTGGAACTGAAGTATTCAGGTAGCATCTGGGGAGGGGATTCCCACAGTAGATGGGACTTTAGGAGAAGTTGCATGACATTGGGCTGCTGTCCAGCTGCCCCCACATTGGTCCTGTCAGGGAAGGGCCCCTCACTTGGATGTACAGCAGATTCAGAACATGGGTGGTATAGATGGTGCCACAGCTTATTAGTTACAATCACAGAATCCCAAAATATTTGGGCTATTAAGGTACCAGATATATCAAATAATGACAACTACATAACAAATTTTTATTTTTACACAAAAAAAGGGATTATACATAAAACACATAAAAAAGGGAAAGGATTCTGAATAATTAATATGGATGAACCCAAAACAAATATTCAACCCTCTATAACCATATTACACTAATATGTCAATATAGACCAGCATTTTTCAACCACTGTGCCGCGGCACACTCGTGTGCCGTGAGATATTGTCTGGTGTGCCGTGGGAAAAATTGCAATTTCATCCGTAACATGTGGCCTCGGCTCACAAATAGACCAATCATTAGAACAGCAATGGGCAAACTACGGCCCGCGGGCCGTATACGGCCTGGCGGACCTTTTAATCTGGCCCGTGGAGCGTGATACTGTCAGGATGATCTGTCCCCCTCGACGTATCTGCGCATGTGCCGGAGATCGCCGATCGGCTGCTAATGCCTGAAACTGGCACATGCGCAGATACGTCGAGGGGGACAGATCCTCATAGGAGACAGATTTTCATGCTACACCGGAACGGCGAGAGGAACGCGTGGAGCAAAGGTAAGTGAATTGACACAGGGGGGGCTTGGGGACTTAATATGGGGGATGAATTAATATGGGGGATGAATTACTATGGGGGATAAATTACTATGAGGGATGAATTACTATATTGGGGATGAATTACTATGGGGGATGAATTACTATGGGGGATGAATTACTATAGGGGGGATGAATTACTATGGGGGATGAATTACTATATGGGGGATGAATTACTATGGGGGATGAATTACTATATGGGGGATTAATTACTATGGGGGATGAATTACTATGGGGGATGAATTACTATATGGGGGATGAATTACTATGGGGGATGAATTACTATATGGGGGATTAATTACTATGGGGGATGAATTACTATGGGGGATGAATTACTATATGGGGGATGAATTACTATGGGGGATGAATTACTATGGGGGATGAATTACTATATAGGGGATGAATTACTATGGGGGATGAATTACTATATGGGGGATGAATTACTATGGGGGATGAAATACTATATGGGGGATGAATTACTATGGGGGATGAATTACTATATGGGTGATGAATTACTATGGGGGATGAATTACTCAATGGGGGATTAATTACTATGCTTACTATGGGGGAATATTACTATACTTACTATGGATGACACATACACATCATTCATCTACTCTTGGTCCGGCCCCCGGGTCCAATTATAAAATACTTTATTATTTCATAATAAAGTAATTATAAAATAATTTCTTTGTGTTTGATTCCTATTCAAGAGAATTACTTTATATATAGTCAATATAGGCACAGAGGTAAATTTTTTTAACATTTTCTAATGGTGGTGTGCCTCGTGATTTTTTTTTCATGAAAAAAGTGTGCCTTTGCACAAAAAAGGTTGAAAAACACTGATATAGACAATTGCTCTGTCCAAAGAAGGACCATGTGCAATACTATAATTACATTTTATACAAAGAAGGAGGAAAAAGGGTCACCATTGATCTCAGGAGCAGTACATATCAGAATCTATTTACAATCTATAAAACAAAAAACAGTAAGTATGCACAATGACAATTTCATCTACAAATACACATCACATTTTCTCTTGATACGTGTAGAGCTGAATGGTGACCCTCTTTTCTCCCTCCTTGTATAAAATGTAATGATAGTATTGTACATTGGTCCTGTTTACCTGTTTTTTTTTTTAACGCTGCAGGATTGAAATGAAAGTTAAACATATGCACACATTGAAATCACACCATTAAAACAGCCCTCTGCTAAGAACAGTTTGCATCTAAACTGACCCCATAATTCTTACACAAATTAATGAAAAAAATCCTAAAAATTTCTCTTGAAAAAGCCAACGGTTAAACATTATTATTATACAGGATTTATATAGCGCCAACAGTTTGCTCAGCGCTGTACATTATAAAGGGAGACAGTACACGAGACAGTACAGTAACAATACGATTCAATACATGAGGGGTTTGAGGGCCCTGCTCCTTGGAGCTTACAATCTAGGAGGGAGGGCATAGTGGTACAGGAGGAAATAGCTGTGGGGGATGGAGGAGTGGTAGGAAGAGAGGAGAAGTTCAGTAATTAGCTGAGGGCAGGGTAGGCTTCCCTGAAGAGATAGGTTTTCAGAGTGCACCTAAAGGTGAGGAGAGTAGGTGACAGTCTGATGGATTGGGGTAGGGAGTTCCAGAGAATGGGGGAAGCCCTGGAGAAGTCCTGTAGACGGGCATGGGAGGAGGAGACCAGGGAACCAGAGAGTAGAAGGTCTTGTGAGGAGTGGAGAGTACGTTTTGGGTGGTATTTGGATCCCAGATCGGTGATGTAGTTTGGGGCAGTATTATGAATAGCTTTAAAAGTCAATGTTAGCATTTTGAATTTGCTCTGTTGGGCAATCGGAAGCCAGTGGAGGGATTGGCAGAGAGGGGTGGAGGATATGGAGCGGTTAATAAGGTGGATAAGTCTGGCCGCAGCATTCAAGATAGACTGAAGTGGAGATAGCCTGCAGTGGGGTAAGCCGATGAGGAGGGAGTTACAGTAACATAACATAACCAAACCTTGTCCAATTTAAACAAATGGTGAACAACAGTCTTTTGTGTTTCATAGTGTTCTGGAACTTCAACAGAAAACTGACAAGTCTACAACAAAAATAGATGAAATAAAGCTGGAAACAGAGAAAGACAAAACAAAAAATCTAGGACATCTAAGGAAAATTTGTATGTATGGTATAGATCAATTAATAGTTAATTTAGTAAAAACGTAATGAGCTTATTGAAAGGGAATCCACAAAGGACTTACTAGCAATTTGAAAGAATTCTTTGGAGACTTTATTAAAATCTGTGTTTCTTATGCCACTGTGCACTGAAACCTACCACCTACCACCAGGTAGACTATAAATCAGTTAGTATCTGACACTTGTCATTAAACTGACATGTACTAAATCAAACATGAATCATTTGACCATATCTTCACTTCTTCAGAGACAATTACAAACATAACACTGTTTTCTAAAAAATAACAGGATTTATGGTAGATATACTATATAATGTTTTGGATCACAGTTTTTTAACAGTAATTTGTATTCCTAGAAAAAAAAACATTGTTTAGGATTTTATTGTTGTACAGACTACTCAATCAGAACACTTGTAGCCTGTAAAGATACATTTTAACAAATTATTTACTATGTATAAAACACAGGTAACTTAAGAAATTGGGTGTTAAAATCATTGTAGCACTTAACATGCTTGAAAGACTGACAGAATGTTATTGATAACTTCTATTGGCTGGCATATTATTATTTCGTATAAGTTATTACTACTTTTTATTTTACTTTACCTTTGTGTATATCTCTTATTATTTAATGTTTCTTATCTCATTGTGTATGTTTTTCATTAAACAGATACTATGAAAGTATGGCATTGCAAAATAGCACACAAGTTACAGACTTTATTTTGCTTGGCTTCTCCTTGTCTCCAGATTTAAAAAAAGTTCTATTCATCTTAACACTGGCTTCCTATTCTATTACCTTATTGGCCAACATGCTAATTATTACGATTGTTCGTATGAAATCACAACTTCAGATACCCATGTATATTTTTCTCAGTCACTTCTCTCTGATGGAAATGGGCTACACAACAGTTATCATCCCAAAAATGTTGCAAGGTCTCTTGTTTGAGACTGTAACTATATCCATGCATGGGTGTCTGACCCACTTTTACTTCATATTTTTTTCCGGTACTCTAGAAAATCTTCTTCTGGCTATCATGGGATATGACCGTTACTTGGCCATTTGTAATCCTTTACGTTACTCATCAATAATGACCCACTATGTTTGCTATCAGCTGGCCTTTGCATCTTGGATAAGTGGGTGTCTTATTCCCTTTATGCCAACAATTTGGGTGTCAAAGTTATTTTTTTGTGATTGCAGAAAAATTGACCATTACTTTTGTGATTTTGCACCGTTGGTGAAGTTATCCTGTTCTGATACCTCAATAGCAGTTAAGACTTTTCTTTGGACAGGGTATTATACTAATATTAAGCTGCTGTTTTGTGATCTTAGTATCATATATCTTCATTATATCCACCATTCTTACCATGTCTTCCACTAGAAGTCGTCAGAAAGCTTTCTCTACTTGTGCATCACACCTTACAGTTGTAACTATATTCTATGGAACCATTATTTCTACATATGTAAGACCTTCAACTGGAAATTCATCTTACATTGACAAAAATGTATCTGTATTTTACTCTGTTGTGACTCCATTGCTTAATCCTATAATCAACAGCCTAAGAAATTCAAGTATTAAGTTGGCAATACAAAACACAATCAAGCAGCTACTGTAATTTCATGTAATTACAATTGTCCTTTTCAAAATTGTCAATTCTAATAGCAGTTAAAGCTACTGTCTGTGCAACCTCTCCCCCTCATAGCCCCCATCCCACTTCTAACTAATTGCTGACAAAAAAAATAAAAAAAAAACAACTAAAGGCCCATTTTAGTTACGTAAAGCCCTAGTCACCTGATATTCCAGTCTTGAGAATACCAAGTGCAGGCACTTCTGCAGTGCTGGACTATGAGGCTCCCATACCCAGGGTGAATTAAGGCAAGTCTAGAATTCCTTCACCAGGTATTCCAGCAAAAAATGCTAGGGGTAAGAGGGTGATCAGAATGATGGGGGGGGGGGGGGATTGGTGGTGGTGGTAAAACTTTGCCTAGCCAAAGCCTTGGGCTTTAAAAAATATCTTTGGATGCTTAGCAGTGCTATTTGCTATAAGTTGGGTAATTCACAATGTACTACTTCAAGTTCTGCAGCAAAGTTAAAAACCTAGATGGAATTTGAATAATTCAATGTAGACTGTGATAAATGCATGAATGACCAGCTGAGACTTGATGTTGATTTACATTCAAGAATATGCTACCCCAACATTTCATATTTCTGAACAGAGGCATAACTAGAACCTTCAGGTCCCCGATGCAAGAAACCATGATGGGCCTCCCTTCCCTCTGGGTCTGGGAACCTTCTCACTGAACCCAGGGCCCATTACTACCACTGCAAGATCCTTTATTTTGGTCCTGCAGCTGGACCCTTTCATGTGTTCTGTGGAGGGTCCCCTTCCTGCTACCTTGGGCCTCCCCATGGTGGCAAAATGCCAGAGCCCAGTAGCAAGTGTGACCTTTTTTGACCCTGGTAGTTCCACCATTGGTGTCAATAGTTTTCTTTTTTCATTTTGTATTGTTTCCTTTGTGTGAAATACCTGGTATTCCTGCCAGTTCCCCTGCTTTCCAATTTTGAACTGATCATTTTAGGCATGAGAACACATCTATCTAATAGTGGTCAGTTTTCTGGCTATGCAGCCTGCCTTTCTTCCAATGATTAGACACTTGCTGACTCCCTCCCCCCTGCACAGTTATTCACTGGGAAGATCAGAGTACTGCTATTTCCCCACCCCCTGCTCTGTAACCCCCATATATAGCTGAGAACAGAGATTATATGATCATTTATATAAAATAGAAAAATAAAGCATTTATATACAGTATAAATAAATAATTTACTTTCTATTTTAAACTGAATGGGCTACTTTAAAGGTGAGTCTCCGTACTCCCGTACTACTGGTTACCATGATAAAAAAAAATGATATTGATTTTCAGCTGAGTCTAATGAATTGAGAAATTTGCAGCTGCATGGTTAAAATAAATATTCTTTTCCTTGTGCTTAATCCTTTTGTCTATCTCCATATGTTTAAAGCCCCATGTGCATAATCCTATGTAACTGTGCACAACATAATGCTCTCTTTCTGTAGACCTTTGTATGTTTTTACTTTGTGATCTGTGCTATCAGCCCCTATATTCATAAGGGCCAAATGTTTCCATATTGTTAAACAGTTTTATTATGGTCCATGTGGGGAATGAAATCAGAATTCTAGGCAAATATTTTTTAGTCATAAAAATAGTTACCTCTAGTAAGGTGTATCCCACATCCAGGATTGCTGTGCTTTTGTGTGTAGAACTTATCCCTGTAGGAGCTGGTTGAGGTGAAGGGCTCTCTGTTCTGCCATGACTCTTTAAGCTGCTTGGTCCCCACTGACACACCTGGTTGCAGGTTGAAGGCTGCTCACACTTCTGTAACTTAAGCATTACTATTGGCATTAATTAACCAAAAAATAAAGCTCCTCCTGTGTATGCTATGAATACAGTCCCAAAAGTGGGTGGGTGCATGAATTCCTGACAAAGAGATAACCCTGAAGGTGACTACAAGTACCTAGCGATTAATTCTCAGTATTAGCCTGTTTTCATTGGGGCCCTTCTGCAAGGTGGTGCACATGAAGCTGTACCTTAAAGAGTGTATAATCGATGGCTGATGGACTGCTAAGTAAAGAGCAGTCTCTATTGCAGTAACTGTGTGCAGCAAGGAATTAACCTTTGTAGTTACACTCACCACACCACAGGCAACAGGTCTGGTCCCACACACTTGGCAGTCAGTTATCCCAGAAGTCTCAGTCATCAGGTCCTCATGAATAGGTCCTCACTGGCTCCCCCTGACTGTAGGCACACACAGAAATGGGTCCTTCCAGCTTTGAGTTCCAGCACAGCAGGAGAATTTTCAATGTCTCAGTCCTTGGTCTCTGGTGTGGGCATAGAGACCCCAGCATAGGTCTGCACTCTCTCAGTTCCTGCACCACTAAGATGGCACCCTGATCTCTGCACAGTCCCAGCCAAGGATATGGCTTGGCTTTCTCCTGCAAAGGACCGAGATCTGTCCAGAATTACCCAGGAAACTTTCTGTCTCTCCTTCTTATGTCAACAGGGATTTCTGAGTATGGAAGTCCACATCCTTATAGACTCCATCCACTTGTATTGAGCAGCACTACTTTACCTAGAAATCTAAGTGTCCCCTGTGTGGCTGCACAGCACGTTCTCTCTGCTCTGGTTTGCTCAGAGCCACTGTTGCCAGGATGGAGGGGGAGTAGGAGCAAGGGGGATGAAGTGGGCAGGCACACACAGTCCACAGCTGCACCTGTCAACAGTTCCTTGCATACAGCCAGCAGCAGCAAGGGATCAAACACACACAGAGCTGCTCCAGCAACACAGCGCAGTGGGCAGAGAATGGGCGGCAGAGAACACAGTTGGCAGCACCTGACTACACTTGTAAATTTACACTTTGTGCAGTTGTGCATGGTAGCCAATCAGCTTCTATCTTCAGCTTGTTTAATTAGGCTTTGACAATAAAACCTGGAAGCTGTTTGGTGCACATTCCAGCTTATGTAAATAACCCACCATGTGTCTATGTGTATCTGCACTGACACTGTTTTGCACTTCATTTGCCTTGTGTCGTAAGTAGGGGATTGTTTACTGCCTTCACTTTCTGGCATCAGGGGCGTATCTGCCGCGAGGCAAACAAGGCGTTTGCCTAGGGCTGCAGTTTACAGGGGGGCGGAATGCCCCCCAGGCAGAAGGGACACTGTGTGTCAGCGGCAGTGCCGCCATGGCTGAGGGTAAAGCCGATACACAAGGAGGGTCACCCGGGCCATGGACCGGCTGCAGAGGAGAGCGGAGTGGTGGGCGGATCATTGGTGTGCACTCGGAGCACGTGAGGGGCGGGGAGCACTGTCAGTGCACGCCGGGATGTGCAGGAAGGCCAGAAGGTGCCAGCGAAGGAGGAAGCAGAAGAGGACGAGGTCAGGGTGGAGGAGCCTGCCTGCTCTTTTGCAGCCACCGCTGCCAGAGATCCTGGGGGAGAAGGGACACATGCACCCGACCTGGAGTGATGCTGACACCATCTGGAGGAGCTGCTGCTGGACAGGTAAGTGCTCGGAGGACTGGTGCTTCCCACTCCTGTCTCCCTGTCCCCCCCCAATACACTGCCCCCCACCTGTTCCACTTCCCCCCTCCTGTCCCCCATATTGTCCTACTACCCGCCATCTGTCCCCACTGCCCCCCACCTGTCCCTCTGCTCTCCTCCTGTCCAGCTGCCCCAATCCTGTCCCATGCCCCCTGTCACGCTGCCCCCCACCTATCCCTCTGCGCTCCTCCTGTCCCTCTGTGCTCCTCTTGTCCCTCTGTGCTCCTTCTCCTGTCCCTCACCTGTCCCACTGTGCTCCTCCTGTCCCACTGCCCCTCACCTATGTCATTGCGCTCCTCCTGTCCCGCTGCACCGATCCTGTCCCATGCCTCCGTCATGCTACCCCCCACCTGTCCCTCTGTGTTCCTCCTGTCCCACTGCCTCTCGCCTGTCCCTCTGTGCTCCTCCTGTTCCACTGCCCCCCACCTGTCCCTTTGCACTCCTCCTGTCCCACTGCCCCGATCCTGTCCCTTTGCACTTCTCCTGTCCCACTGCCCCTCACCTATCCTTCTGTGCTTCTCCTGTCCCACTGCACTTCTCCTGTCCTGCTGCCCCGATCCTGTCCCATGCCCCCCCCTCATTCTGCCCCCTACCTTTCCCTCTGCGCTCCTCCTGTCCCACTGCCCCTCACCTGTCCCTTTGTGCTCCTCCTGTCCCACTGCCTCTCACCTGTCCCTTTGCACTCCTCCTGTCACGCTGCCCCGATCCTGTCCCATGCCCCCTGTCCCACTGCCCCTCACCTATCCTTCTGTGCTCCTCCTGTCCCTCTGTGCTCCTTCTCCTGTCCCACTGCCCCTCACCTGTAACACTGAGCTCCTCTTGTCCCACTGCCCCTCACCTGTCCCACTGCGCTCCTCCTGTCCCACTGCCCCTCACCTGTCCCACTGCCCTACTCCTGTTCCGCTGCCCCGATCCTGTCCCATGCCCCCGTCATGCTGCCCCCCCACCTGTCCCTCTATACTTCTCCTGTCTCACTGCCCCTCACCTGTCCCTCTGCGCTCCTCCTGTGCCACTGCCCCTCACCTGTCCCTTTACGCTCCTCTTGCCCCGCTGCTCTTCACCTGTCCCATGCCCCCTGTCATGCTGCCCCCCCCTCCTGTCCCTCTGTGCTCCTCCTGTCCCACTGCCCCTCACCTATCCTTCTGTGCTTCTCCTGTCCCACTGCGCTTCTCCTGTCCCGCTGCCCCAATCCTGTCCCATGCCCCCTGTCACACTGCCCCCTACCTGTCCCTCTGCACCCCTCCTATCCCACTGCCCCTCACTTGTCCTAGAGGCATATTTGCTGCGAGGCAAACAAGGCATTTGCCTAGGGCGGCACTTTGGGGGGGGGGGGTGGCACGATGGCAGCACCACCCCCCCTTTCCCACGGAAGGGACACTTCCATGGGAAGGG